TCTCTTGCTCCCCACTCCTCCACCGTCACTGCGTCCTGTGGGTTGGACCTCCTTCGTTCCTCTCACTTCCACTTTCATACTCTCACCTATAACCAGGGATGTGCTTTCCCTGCCATCAACCTCCCCTTTCTCCCATTATTCCACCTGTGCTGCCAGAGGGACCTTCCTGAATAGCCAGTCCAGTCACATTCAACAGCCTCACCCCAGTCTGGCTTTGAGGTAAAATCCAGACTCCACACCAGGGTCCACAGAGTAGCTCCCAAGGTCCCCCTGCCATGTGGCCCTGGCCCTCTTGAGCCTCATCCCTCACTGGCCACGACAGCTCCTTCTCCATGTCCTGCTTATTTACTGTCTGCAGCCAGCCTCAGGTCACCTCCTCCAGGAGGCCTCCCCTGACTCCCACTCAATTTGGCTGCCCTCTTCAACCCTATGGTACCTACAGTCCTGCTATGGTAGCATCTACACCCCACGACCCCACATTCGCCATCCTCCTGTCTGTCTCCGCCTAGACTGACAGCTCCCTGATGGCACCTTCAATTTCTGAATTTGCGGAACTAGCACGGTGCCTGTGTGCTCAGTAAACATTTGCCCCAAAACCAAATTCCAGGGAGCAGATGCTCTTGGTGCCCCCCACATGTATGCACCCTCAGCCTGGGGTGGAGTCACCTGCCACTGGGCCCCATCTCCCTCAGTGAGAGAATCCGCCCATCCGCCCACCAGGCCCGCTCTACCCAGGTTACCCTGGGCGTCAGGAGCCGTGTCCTGTCTGTCTCAGCTTATCATTCTGTGATCGCAGAGGCCCCTGTTTTTCTGCTGTGAATAAAGAGAAGGTTGGGAGGTGGGCTGCTGAGTTCCGAGGTCTCTCAGTCAGGAGTCTGAGACTCCATCAAGGTGTACGGCTCAGATTTCCAGGCCTCTATAAAACATGTGTTTGAATTTGTGTCACTACCTTGGCCAACGGATAAGAAGGTGGCCCTCAGAAAGTGACCACATAGACACTGCAGCCCAGGGTGGCACCGGGACGCCCCTGCCCAGCCCCACACGAGGACACTCGGGGTCACCTGCTTTCCAGGGAAGAGAAAGAGGGCCAGAGCAGGACAGCAGGCAGGGGCTTGGCTCCTCCCTCTAATGCAATGCGCATTCCCCACTGAAAGGCAATCTCTTCACTTCAAAAGGATTCCAGCTGGTTACATTCAAGGCAAAGAGTAAGCCCGTCAAGAAGCTTCTCAGGGGCCTTTCAGTTTTCACTGGCATGAGCAGGGGTGCAGCTTAAGATGTTTGTCTCTTAATGTTTGTCAAAGCACCGCGGGAGAAAGCTTTCTCCTCCATCACCCCCTCTCTCAGCTCTCAGCAGCTGCTGGCACAGGGGCCATCCACAACTTCCCATTATCCACCTGCTCTCCACTTCTCTGGCGTCCACCTGGCGTCATCCTTCTCTCCTGGTGCCCCCTCCCCACCCCTCAGTGCACACGGATCCTGTGTGGTGGTGTCCAGTGCTGGCCCTCAGTCTGCTGGCCCAGCAGATTTCCTTCAGGGTAAAGGACACCCGGGACACTAAGCAGCTTAAAGGGTAAAGCACTGGGCTCACACCCTCAGAGCTCACACTCCAGCGGCCATCCTTACACGCCTGCCATTCAGTCATTCACCCACCCCATCATCCCGTCAGTCAACGTGGGTCTGTGATGTTGGCAGGGGCTGTGGGTGGCTCAGAGATACAACACATGGCCTTGTTCTCTGAGGGCTTGTAAGTTGGTTGAATTTATGGGAGATATGGATGTGCAACCACAGTATAAGACACAAGGAAGGAAACGCTGGGTGTGGTGGGTAAGAGACATTTAAAAAGCTCAGAGAAAGAAGAGACCAGCCAGGGATAGGACTGCCCAGAGAGCAGCAGTCTGGAAGGCTTCTCGGAGGAAGCATTTTGGTGGGAGGAGGGTATCCCCGAGTGCAGGGTCCAATTATAGGGAGGCAGCTTGAACAAAGGTGTGCAGGCAAGTAGAGCTCTGGTGGGCACAGAAGCACTGCCCCTGCCCACTGGGTGCCTCCTTCCAGGGCCTCAGGGCTTGCTTGCAGGGGGCTCCCTCGCATGTCCCCTGTCCACTAGCAGCCACAGCTTTGGTGGCACTGCTTTAGCCACCTTTGAAAGCAGGGCACTGTCCCCACAGAGCCAGTCACCAACCTCTTCCTTTTTCCATTAGGCCCCCGGACATGCCTTCAATCCTCTTGTCTGTCACTGAGGCCTCAGGCTCAGCCCCTACTGTGCATTTCTGAGGCACCCTGTTCCCAGATCGCATCCACTTCCTTCCTGGCTCTACCAGTTGCTCTCTCTAGAGGTGTTTATTCCCTCTAGCCCTTAAAGGGAGCTCCAGCCACCGGCCCATTTCTCACGGCCGCAGGGCTGTCTCACCTCCTCACCACAGCCTTCCTCAGCTGCCACTGTGCTTTGTCCCAGGAAAGCTTCTCTTCAGCAAGCCCTCCTCAATTGTGCCAGCACCCAAGGCCCCCCCAAAGGGCTGTTGCCAGTGGTCCAGTGGTCAAGCCTCTGGAGTTGGGGGGACCCAGGGATTTGAACCTGGGCTCTGTACTTGCTCTGATTTCCTCCTTCCATAGGAACTTGTTTTTCTTCCCCAACACCTTCCCTCCTTCTGGTCACCGGCACCTGAGCTCCTCTCTTGCTCTCAGCCCTTGTAGATTAAGTGGGGCTGCTCAGGGTCACTGTCTGGTTCAGGGGTGGGCATGTGATCCCAGCAGGAAAAGTCCTGGGGCTTTTAATGTTTGGAAAGTATCCGTCTATTCCCACTGGGATTGATAAATGAGTAAAACATAAATCTGAAGTTTATGGAGTCATCTTTGCCACCACAAGGAGAGAGTCTGTTTACGTATAAAACCAACATGGAAAAAAGTAAAGAAAATGGACAGATAGGTAACTTCCCAGTGATGCTTGAGTGCCTGGATCCAGCCATGCCTGAAGTTATCCCTGGAGTTTTCAGTTTGTGAACCCAAAATTCCTTTCCTCTTTCCTGGCAAAAACCAGCTAGAGTTGGCTTTTGTCACTTGGCCACTAACAGTCTTGGCTAAAGAAATACCTCCAGACTTGATGAAAGCCTTAAATGAAATGACACACAAATAGCACCCAGCAAAAAGTGGGTACCACTCAATGAACGGTGGCTTTTGCTAACTGTAACCGAACCTGCCTTCTCAAAGGCCAGTTGAATTTCCATAAACTGTGGTTGTATGTGGTGGAATACTATTTTTTCTTTCTTTCTTCCCACCACTTTCACCAAACCTTCCTTTGTGAAATCTCTGCCCTTCTTGGCTTCCTGAACCACAACTCTGTGTCATTTGTAGGCCACCAGGTTTCCTCGCCGACCCCTCCTCTGGGCTGAAACAGGATAGGAGATTTCAGGATCTGGAGGGGGTGATGTCTTCTCTGCATTACGTGCCCATGCCCCAGGACTATTAGTATCAGTAAAACTGAATCAAATGCCCACTTCCCAAACTTCAAACTTGTCTAGCCCCCGGGGACACCAGGTACTCAGAAAAGCCCACACTGCCATCTAGTGGACATGTTCTGCAACATCAGGCATAATGGAGCCCTTTGCTGAGACTCCCTCTTGGGACAGTCACCGGGCTGTGAAGGCAGGGCATTTGGTCCAACCTCCTCATTCTCTAAGTGACAAACCCAAAGACACCGAAGTAATGGTCCCAGGAGGCAACATTATACTCTTCCCTAAAGGACTGCCTTCCTGCCCTGCTGCTCCGCCTTCCACCCCATGTCCAGAGTCAGAATCGCAGGGGCCCACACGTCCCACTTCTCCAGTCGGTCCACGGGTATGCTCCCGGCCAAGGTCTCCAGGGCAGAGCGCTGCTGTGCGCATGTGTGTGAGGCCTGGGAGGGGATGAGGGAGAAGAGACCCAGCGGTCTCCTTGCCACCTGCTTGCTTAGCTTCCCAGGGAAAAGGATGTTTATCACAGGTGCAAACACAATAGCTTGCAAGCTGCATGTTTGCAGTCTCATGAATCATAAGACATACCACCATCTACGTTAGTGAAAATAGTTTAGGAAAGAAAGGGGACTCTACCCCTGTATATCCGAGTACCGCGTGCTACCCCGACCCTAGGACTGGTTACCTTGTGTCTGTGCTGACTGCTGTCAGGCCGGACCTGTGGCAGCCTCCAGGCTGGGCCGACAGAAGGACAGAGCTCCCTGCCGCAGTGCACCAACGGGGCCAGCAGGATGGCCTTGGGGCACACGTGGTCACATCTTGACCATGACCCTCTGTCTCCACCACTCGTGGCCTAAGTCTAGACACACCACAGGCCTTGTGTGCAGGTGGGCACTGGTACCTCCCACTAAACCACAGGCACAGCAGAGAAAGTGAGGCTTGCCTTCTGTCCCCCACGCTTTAAGGACTTAGCCCAGCCCAGGAATCAAGGAAAAATAAAATGGCACCCAGAACTCTGGCACAGCTTCAATCTTCTACTTCAGACAACCTCGGGCAAACTTGTGGGCACGTCTCCTATTGCAGTGATGAAAAGCTGGGAAGTGCTGACCTGTGCTGGTTCAGCCTGGGTGAGAAGCGCTGCCCATTGCAAACCAGCTCCTCCCAATCTGGAGGATCACTCGGAAAGCCCAGCCACCTGGACCTCCAGAAAAGACTCGTACCACCCCGCTCTCCTCCTTTCCTTTGCCGGCTCCAGAGCACACACCAGCTGGTCTCCACGCGCACCGAGAAGCCAGGCTCGGAGGCTGCAGGAGCAGGCAGAGGCCAGTGGGCAGAGCAGCGCCTGAGCCCCCCCAGTGCTCCCAGTCTGCAGGCCTCCCACCCACCCCCATCTCCAAAGCCGTGGGGCTGCTTCAAGGAAAGCAACAGCCATCTGGTAGCACCAGACCCAACCCAGATGGCTCTACACATGGCTTCAAGTCACCCAGATGAGGAAGCTCAGAGAGAAACCGAGACCCACAGCTCCCCAGCTCCAGGCCAGGCTGGCTCACTCACCTCCAAGGCCCCGGGGAACTTGACGACAGGCTCATTCCAGTAGGTGATCTTCTGCCTGTAGTTGTTGCAGTCGGGCACAAACATGCAGCCAAGGTTCCCCAGTTCTGGGTAGGAAACTTTGAGGCCCCTATGGAGAGAGGCAGCTGGTGGGCCCACGTGAGGGTTCCAGTGGAGCCCCACTGGGAAAGTAAAGCCAAGCAGGACTGAATCCTAACCCACCACTAACTAGCTCTGTGACTAGTGTCGTCCAAGAGTTACTTGACCTCTAGGTGCCTCAATTTCTTCGCCTGTAAAACAGGGACAGTAATTGTACATACTATGGGGCTGGTGTGAGGAGCAAAGTCAGTGACCAATGTTTGCAAGAGAGCCCCGCATGTTGTTGCTGTCAGAACATGTGAACTGTTGCCCGGATGTACTTCTCAAAAAGAATGTCCACCCTTGGGCAAACTTGGTTGGTGTCTTTAAAGTAGGATTCAGTGTATAAGAACAACATTGATATGTTTCTTTCCAGGAATTTCTTTTTACGTGAAGAAAGGTTTAGCAATGAGCTCAGCCTTCTTCATGGGCACAGACTTCCGTCTCCCCTGAACAATCTGGGTCCTCTCCCTGCCTGGAAACTGCACCAGTGGTTCAATATACCCTGTCTTTCGGTTAAGCATTGCCCAATGCCCTAGCTTCTCCACTGGCCATTCACTGCACTTCAAAACGCAAATACCTTTCAGGGTGGCATCTCATCACCAAGACAGCAGTATGAGTCCTCTGATCTGTGTTCTCCTTGCAAAGAAGGGCCTGGACAGCACAAAATCCCACGGGTAGTTAAGTATGTCCTGCCCTTGCACCTGGTGAGATCTGAGGCTGAGAGGGCATGATCACTGGAGAGCCATGCCAGTAGCCCACAGTCAGAACTGGGGTAGGTCTTCTGGGAAGGCAAGGGCGGGGAGAGGGAAACAGCACCACACAGCCTGCCCCGGGGGAATGAAAAGGCTCTCTTTTTTATCCCAGTGGAATAGTTGCAAATGTTAAAATAGCTAAGCAGGATCCCACGATTGACAGAGAATGCCCTGCAGAGCATATGCTAGGGGACCAGGGACTAGGTTCTGGCCCCAGGCCCCGCCACTCCTATGGAGCACTGCCAGCCCAGCATCTGAAGACCAGGCTTCTCTGCATAGCAGGACATGCCAAAGGGCATGTGCGGACCTCTGTCCTGCTTAGCAGTTTTACCAAGGTCTTGGACCAGGTCACAGAAGGCAAATTCATTAGATCTGAGAATGGCACGAAGCTGACAACCGACAATTCAGAAGAGCAAACTGGTTTCAGGGAAGATATGGACAAGCCCTGAGATGAACTGAATCAAAAATTAAATTTAGTAAGAATGTACTTTAAAACTTACATTCAAGTTCCAAAACCTTGAAGGTGCCATCTTTCTGCTCACAGTGCACCCTACTCAGGACATGTTCTAATCTCCACCCCCAGATTGAGGCATCTCCTGACCTTCCCAAGACTAGGAGGTACCAAGACCGTGGAGGAGGGCAGGGGCTCCTGTCCCAGCATGGCTGCTATCTGACACTGTACAAGGGGCTGGAGGGACGGGGTGGCCTTCGCTGGCAGCCCAATGGAGCCAGAGCACCACATGCACATTATTTCATTTCATACAACAACGCCTGTGAGCAGCTATTATCACCGTTCTCATCTCCCAGATGAGGAAACTGAGGCCCAGAGGAAGTCTGGGACCAGCACTGGGCCTCATACTGGGTGAACTGTGAGCGAAAGAGGGATGTGGCTGTGGCGGGCAGTGCCTGGATGCCCCCGGTGATCTCCGTGCACCCAGTATTCCCAAGGGGAGGTGTCGCCCTCCCCTTGCGTGGGGGCTGGATTGAGTGACTTGCTTCTAACAGAGAATGTGGCCGAAGTGGTGGGACGTCATTTCCAAGAGTACATTATAGGAAGACTGGCTTCTGCTGGGAGGTCCTCTCTTACACACTCTCCTCAAAGCCTGCCACGGAATCCGCCAGCACCTTGATCTTGGACTTCCAGCTTCCGCAATAGTGAGAGACCAATTTCTGTTGTTTAGGCTACCTATCCTGTGGCATTTTGTTATAGCAGTCTGAACTAAGACAGTTCCCCTTTACTCAGGTTTGAGAAGCTCTGGGCCCTGGATGAGGGTCACCAGCCAAAGGTGGGTGGGGGAAGGGCCTGAGTGTAAAGGCAGCCAAGGGCACCTGAATCTCAGCTCTGCCACTTGTCAGGTGTGTAACCACCATGGACACACTGTAATCTCTGGGACTTCCTCATGTACAGAATAGGGATGATAATACCCACTTGGTGGCTTTATAGTAACAATCAAATAAGACAAATACCAGCAGAACCCCTGGCACATAACGGGTGTCCCAGAGCTCCCACACATGCCATGGATGCCGGCCACAGGGCACTGGTGCGTGGATACCTGGGGGCAGAGCCTAGGGCAGCGGGGGCCCAGGCCAGTCACCTCCGGGGACCATACACATATGACCATTTGCTAAGGGCTCCACAGTGAACATGGGGAGCACAGAGAATCTCCACAGCGGGGCCCTCGGTGTAGCCTGGCCCTGTGCTGCCCTGGCCCGGCCGGCCTCCCCAGCTCGTGGGCGCTGGCCTTCTGCCCACCTGCCCACCCCCAGGAAGGGTCCGTTCAGCAGAGCCCACACGGGAGGGGCAGGCTTCTCCCACCCAAACCACCACCCAGAACCACCTCACCAGAGCTTTACAAATGGACTGGTAGGAGCAAAATTTATATTAACTTTTTTTTAAATCCAATTACCTACATTTTAAAGGGAAAACATGTATGTGTAAGAATTCAAATGTACACAAGTAGATAGAGCAAGAAGTGAGAGCTCTCCCTCTGTCTGTCACTTCTGATGGCTTCCGTGGGATCCGAGCCTTCTAGGCCACCAAGTTGGTGGCAGAGGGGATGGGCAGCAACGAGGCCTGGGGAGCCCTCAGAGGGCCCACGTGCCCAGGACGATTCATGCCCGCTGCGCAGGGGGGGCTCGTGTGCCCCTGGAGGGGAATTCAGCCTCCGACACCCAGCCTCCTCCCTGGACCCAGTTCAGTGGCCACACTCCCTGAAAGGTCCACCCATCCTGACACTCCTGGGGCCTCATTACTGCACTGTGCCTCTCACCCAGGAAGGTCCACACGCTCTCTGATAACTGCCACTTTTCTTATAATTGTCACTTGGATGTAGGGGAGGAACATCTGGGCTCTGGTGATGGATGGTCTCTCTTGCAGTCCAAGCAGGGAGGATGAGGCCAAGCCCACGGGGCCCTCAGGCTTGGAGGCCCCAGGGGGCTGACTAAACCCTTGTACCCTCCTGCTCCCAGGAGAACTGGCCTCTGGAAAGGAGGACTCTGTCTCAGAGTCCTCCCCTCCATTCTGTCCTCCATCCAAGTGCACTCCAGGGTGGACTTATTTTCTGCCTGTTCACAAAGTTGGCCTTGGGAGGCCGGGCTCCCTGGTTCTGCTAACACCCCTCCCCTGAGATGTCAGCTATGTTTTGGCCTGCCCTGTTGCTCTCCGGGGTGCTGCCCAGGTTTACCTGCAGAGGACAGCGTTGTTGTCAGGCACGGCCTCATAGACACATGCGTCATTCTCCTCCTTGCCTCCGTCTCCGGTGACCGCCATTGTGAGACCCAGAAACAGGGCGGCTGTGGCCAGTCTCATTTGCCAGCCCATGGGTGCCTGGAACAGAAGGAGCCTTTAGAGCTGCTGGGCCCTCTGCAGGGGGTGCCCTTTCCACCCGGTAGGCTTGCCCAGGGGCCCACCAGGCAGGCAGGAGGCCTCTGGTAGCAGAGGGAGGAGGGTGGGCAGCTGCCTGGGCTCCAGCAGCTAATCCGCCTCCCGGACGCAGTACCTCGGCAGGGCCTGGGCCTGCTCCAAGCCGGACTCGTGTGCAGTTCCAGCTGAGAGGCCCCTCCTCTGTCAGAGCAGGGCCCTGCTGTCACTCCCGGCCCGGAGGCCAGGGCAGAGAGCAGGCTGCAAAGCAGAAATGCTCATGGAAGCCTCTCCGCCCAGCTCCTCGCCCTGTCCCCACCACTTGTCCTGTGTTTGGCCCCTGGCTGAAAGCCAGCCTGCTCCCTTGGGTCACAGGCAAACCTTGAGAAGCTGGCGACCCCACGCTCCCGGCTAAGGCTGCTTCTGGGGGCGCTTGTGAAAGGCTGACCCTGGTGGTTTTCCAGGAGCAGGGGTTTGGCTGGGCTCTGCCCCTCTAGCCCACAGTTTCTTCACCACCTGTGCTGACAGCCTTGGGCTGTCCGATGGTGGATGTGGATGGACTCAGTGACCCTGCGTAGGAGGAGCTGCAGCCGGGGAGTAGGACCGGCTGAGGACAGAAGGGTGCGTCCAGCCGCACCTTGCAGCATTGCCGAACTCAGCAGTCTCCCAAAATAATAGTCTGGGGAAGAAGATCAGTGCTGCTGCTCGGGACGGGGCGGCCCTGGGCGCCAAGGAGGCCCTGGGCGGGAGGAAGTTGTGTGGGAGACTGATTGGAGCCAGGGTGGGCAGGGGAAGGCCAAAGGCCATTCTCCTGCAGCTTTTCAAACTGATCTCTCTGTTCTCTCTGAGATGGTGTGGGGGGCTGCTGGGGGAACTGAGGACCCCGAGTTCTGTGCTGAGCCCTGCCAGGCTGCTGAGAGGCCACTACATTTCTCTAGGATGGACCATTTCCCCCTTTCAAAAGCCAGTGACATGACCTGCCTCACCTGTGCCTTGCTAAGGAAGGTGAGACCCAAACATCAAGCCCATGCAGCTGGATCTTCAGAGACGCTATTCATAGCATAGCTTGTTTTCCAGCTGAATTCCTGCTTGCAGGATCCCAACTTTCAGCAAAAAAGCCCTTATTTGGGGCTACAAATTAAACACATTCCTCAATAATTAGGCTGCCTGAGGATGACTAGGGCTCCCCCACAGAGAACTCATTCCCAGATCTCCCTGCTGGAAAGTGCCTGCTGGTAGCCTCCTCACAAGACAGCTGTGAGCACAGAATCACATGAATTACATAAGGCGTGTGGAGAGGTGCCTGCACGTGGGAGCGCTCAATGGTTTGTGCAGAGGATTTTCTTTTTTTTACAGACCCATCCACCCATCCATTCCTTTGCAATCCATTTTACCAAGGCATTGAGCACCTTCCCTGTGCCGGGCCCTGTGCCAGCCCCGGGTACGGGGTGAATGTGGTCCCTGTCCTCTCGGAGCTCCCGGGACAGAAGAGCCAGCTTCTGGGGGTCGCATGCTGCAGAACAGCCATCTGTAGTCATCCAAGGCCAAGAGACTCTTGCGTCCAACAAGGCAGCCACCGCACAAGCCAAAACTTTCCTGCTGCCGACAGCCCTTAGCACCAGCAACGGACGCCTATCTGGAAGCTGGGAGAGTCCGCGTGCAGCTGCTCGGGGCTGCTCCAGCTGAGCCCACTCATGTCGGCAATTTCCATGATTAAGTTTTCAGCAAGGTTTTATCTCCGCTTGCTCATGGCGATCCTCTGAAGGAGGGGGCTGTTACTATCCCACTCTCCAGACAGGGAGACTGGGACGTGGCAAGGTTAGCAACCTGGACCTTGGCACGGCCAGCAGGTGGCCGACCTGGGATTTGAACCCAGGCCGGCTGACTCCAGGCCCCGTGCTCCTTAACCGCGCTGCTCTACCGCCCACTCTCGCAGCTCCGCCCTCCTTCCCACTTGTTACCCATTTGTTCTTGGAATGAGAACAGAATTTCCCACGTGGCCCACAATGCTCTGCATGATCCACCTCTTTCAGCCTCTCTGGCCTGTCTCTCCACTCTCCCCCCACCCCACGAGGGAGCCCCAGCTAGCCCCTCAAGCACCCGCCTGCCCCAGGGCCTTCTGTGCGCAGCCCCCACTTTCGTCCTCCTTTCTGTGGGTAGCAGAAACGTAATTTCCTCTGATCCCCCAGCCTCCATTAGATTCCTGTCATACAAAATCAGAGCACTTTACTCATTTCCTTATTATTTTTATATGATTGTAATGAATTCTTTTGTAGTTATTTGTTTAGTGATTTGCTCATAGTTCCCACCCCAGCTCCTCAGCTGACAAGCCTCTTTGGAGGGAGCACCGAGTTTATGCCCAACCTTCAAGCACAGTCCCTGGAGTGTCTGGATGTTTAACAAATTTTTGTCTGAATGCCTCACAAACTTGCCATGTCTGATAGTCCTTATTTTCACTTAACAGCTTCTAACTCTACAAACATCAGTAGGATACTAACCACTCAGGTTGGCCCCTGGCCCTGGGTCCCTCTTGCTTATTTATCTAACCTTCTCTGGCTTGTTTTTGTACAGAGAGATCTGACAAGATACAGTGGTTCGTGGTATTTTGGAATCTGATCTTTCTCTTGGGAATTCACAAGACTTTGCTTCAGGCTCTGAATCCAGGACCCCGGAGCCACAGTCAAGCCCGCACTGCCCGGCGTCCCCTTCCCATCTCCAGCCTCGCCTCTGGAAGATCCCACCTCTAGATGCCTTGATGCCCGCTCCTGAGGCCCTCTTCCCTCTGTCAGTCACCTGCGCTGGGAACACCTCCCAACGCCGTAAGTCAGGCCAAGCCTGCTGGCTTTCTGGGAAGTCTGGGTCCCTTCCGACCCTGGGGTCCGCTGGACCAGTGCTCCTGGGACTCTAGACCCCCTCTCACCCTTTCACCTCCTGTTCCTGGACCCCCATCACTGACAAGTATCACCTCCTTTGTCCACCCAGACACAAACTCTCATGCTTCGCCTCCTCCCTGAAGCCTCCCACTTACGCCCTCTAGAATCTGACCTGCAGTGGCCAGATGCCCTCTCAGTGTTTTCCTTCCATTCTTCAAAAAAA